CAGGGTACTTGATTTTCAGTCAAAAATGTTGGCCAACTCAAGATTTTCCACGTGGCAGTGCTATTCATCATAATGTTAATATGCATTTTGAATAAATACTTGTTACTGTTCCCCTTTTGTTTAAAAGCACGAAGGAATAAAGAAATACAATTACATACGTTCACATTTTTCTATTTAGATATTACTAATACATATAACATTTCATACTGTATATTAGCACATGGGGCGCTGCAGTAGTATTCCCTCAGATAATTTCACTGGAATAAAAAAATGCAATTAAAAACCTAGATTATCCACTTTTATTAATCTACTGATTGGATAAAGCTTACAGTACTGTTCAAATAAAATCAACAATACTATGAAATTTATTTACCAGTGTAATCTAAAATAAGTATCAATAAACTTTTACTTTACGACATTTTTGGGCAAACAGTAAGAAAGTTGGGCTGCTGTGATGCCTGTTGTAAATGGTTTATTTGTTTTACTCTGCTTTATATCCAAATATTTGATGAGTGTTTGTGATAGACCATCTAAACTGGAATAATGGCTTCAGATACTATACTAATTGAATTAACGCATGCGTAATAAAGTATAACAAAGAGTTAATTCTGACTTATTATTATTTTATTGTATGCATATGCGTGTATTACACTGCAAAATTAACAAATTATCACAAATACCGTAGGAATGTAATTCGTCCCAGAAACTGTTCCTTCCTATTAAACGCATATAGTGTTGTTCTAAAACAGTACCCACGTCACTAATTATATGTGTGCTGTTCATTCCAATTTACGTACTTTTTCCATAGAGTAGAAGAGCAAAGAATGACAGTAGGCTTACAAGTAAAGAGAAAATGGGTTACTAAATACTTACTTTTGAATAGCTTTAAAATACTTGTTTGTTAGTCCACACTCGTGATAAACATGAATGTACATTTAGTTCCAAATGAATATGACAAATAAAAACAAAATGATTTCAACAAAAATACAAACATGTCTTTCCGTTGTTTTTCCTTCTTCACATAAAAGTATCTCTTGTTTCTGGTAGTTGGAGTGAAGTAATACCACCAACTAGAAGAACCGCGGCAGTCGTTAACATAGGCCCGGCTTTACTTGTGTTAATGAACGTGCCGAATGTGAGGTTTCCTAAAATGGCCGCAAATCGACTTACGGAGCTTAAAAATCCGTAACCCGTTGTTCTGAAAAGCAAGAAAAACAATTACCAAAACAGTAGAGAACAGGAAATCGGAGTAAAACTCTTGTACGTAGGATTTTTATTTTATTTTAACAGTGACTTTCCAGTTTTGAATTATTAAGAAAATATAACAATCCTCATTTTTAATTTACATATGATTTAATGGGCCTGAAATTAATTAGAACGAGTTGATACAAGAAATATTTAAAGTGGTCTATTAATTTATCATTGAAAGTACTTGGTCAAAATATCTGCATAGACTAAACGACCTAAAGAAGGAAAATAATAATAATACATTGTAATAATAAATATTAGTGAGCGTTAACGTTATTAGTCTTGAACGAAACGAAGAGTTTTGCCCTCAGTTTTAACTGTAAGTGAGAACATGAAAATGAAATTCAGTACCGGTTAGTTTTTTCTGTAATTTCAACATTGTTTGTAGTTTATATTTATGACTGATTCGCTTCAGGTGAGCTAGCAAATGCTGAGGGTTAGCCACACTCAGTCTGATGACCGACTGTAAGCACTATTGCCCACACCCGAAATTTGCTGACCATGATGTCACGGTCCGCATACACTCGATCAAGATATGTAAGTTGCTATCATAAAGTGTAATTAACCTCTAAAGTACCTGATATGGGTGGGATAAATCTCTGTGGTGATGATATCAATAGCATTCCATCCAGATATGGAAATGAAACAGAAGACACTTTCAAATACAATAACAGAAGCTTTCGACTCCAAGAACCAGATGAAGAATGCACTAAGACTGGTTAGAAACAATGATGTACCTGTAAATGATTTTCAAATGGAAGTTCTATTAAAAAGAGGAAGATTAATTATATACAACTTGTAAGAAACTATTTCATCGTCATAAAAAACAAACTGGCAATATTCATAAGACACTAAAACATTATTATTAATGTTTCAGTCAGTATTATGTTCGAAATCAGAATTATTGTTACCACCTATATAAAAAATGTTCTTAGAAAAATACCTAAAATATCCTACAAATTTATTTCCTGTTTGGCTGCAATTTCCACATGATTTTATTTGCCTGCTGTCCAGTGATTTCATTCAGCAAGGCAGAAATCTTATCGTAATGGTCGCCGAAGTTTAACGCAGTAACTGGACATTAAACCTACTGATCAAACACTTGTAAAATACATTAAACATAGATGGGGCACAGCTATTTCAGTATTTGAAAACCTGTATTGTCTGGGCGTTCTAAAAGTATTTACAAGTAAAAATATCTTATTTTCCGAAAAACATCAGCTTAATAAGGATTTTTATATATATACATATTTGAAACGTTCACGTCGTTATTTATGTATTATACAAAAAGAGGTTTGCAATGTGATTTAATAATTTTACTAACCTAATGTTTTCACTCGGCCCAGACGATCCAGAAGGCACGAAGAAATAACAATTCCAGGGACACTCGCTAACTGTGCAAAGAGATTCTCTAAAAAAATTGTCCGGAGGTTGAAGTTGACATCAAAGTCAATGGTGCATCCTTGTTTTGTGTTGACGTAAACGGAGTCGTGGAGATTGCAGTCTTGGAAACGATAGCCATGGAAGTCCGTACCGATGAAGCAAGTACCAAAAAATTCTGAATGGCGAAAAAACGTTTTGCTAGAGCGTACTTTATCAAACGTGGAATTCACGAAGACGCAGTTCACAAAGATACAATGACTCAGAACCATACTTTGAAACCTTACGTTTTGAAAATGGCTGCCGTAGAAGTTGATGTTTTCCAGAGTGGCATTAAATTCTACAGCCTCAATCGTTTGATTATGTACATCAACAGTCTTTGATTGGCGCTCTTCAACGTGAAGTTTCTTTATGTACTCCGGAAACCAGAGGGACATGCCATAAAATCTTTGAAAAACAATGTTTGCTTGAATATTATGTTTTATGTATTTAAAAAGCGTGCTATAAATATTATCGTTCTTAAAGTTCGATTATTTGAATCCTCACAAATGATTTTTCGAAACAATTTTGTTGTAAACCATTGCATTTTACATAATATATTCAATAATGTAAATACAAAATCTATGTAGTATGGAGTTAAATGAAAATTCTGAAACAGGTTGTGATCGGTTGAAGTCGTTCCTAACAAGACCTAGATTAAATTACCTACCACTTTACAAACTAATTGACTACATAAAGCATTGTGTAAGACTTTAACTGGTACAGAATTATCAGCTAGCAATTATTTTGTTATTGTTTTAAAACTTACCCAAATGAAGTCGTCGCCCATACAACCAACAAGATCAAGGTTACTTTTGTGTATGGAGGCCAGAGTACCTGTCCATAAGATCCCCAAAACTAAATAAATATAAAACATCATGACCAAAATAACCAAGTAAGTTGCCAACGTTTAAAAGTGTAAACCTAATTATATAAATATACAAGTGATCTCTGTGGTAGAATTATACATAAATTTGTTTTATAATCTTGACCGATTTTTAGTCCACATCATATTTAACGATGGAGATTCATGTTCTGTTCTTCCTTTACATTTGAAGATGTAATGGCAATATGCTCATCTTCTGGCTAAGAACAGGCTTTTTTAGCTTAATGGCAAGGAACTTTAGCATTCTAAGGTGGAATTCTTCCCGGAAAAAGGCACAACGTTACATTCGGTAATATTACTGGTGTTATATGTTTTAGCGTTACAGTGTTCTTTTATTCAACTGCAGAGCCTTCTAGTGGTTGATCCAATATATCCCTTGGGAACATAAAGTCATATAATACTAGCGAGGTATGTAATGGATGTTGTTTGTCTTTAAAGTCGAGCAGCCCTTATAACTTAGACTTTGTTTTAAAGACACATTTGAACTGGACTTGTGAATATAACTGATACTTTTATCAATTTTCTCCTGAATCTCGTTTTAAACAGTCCTTAAATAGAGTATGACTAAAATAACATTCTTCTTAGAGACATCTAATGTAACGACATTTGAGATACTTAGTTTTCGTTAACATTCTTCTTAGAGACATCTAATGTAACGACATTTGAGATACTTAGTTTTCGTTAACATTCTTCTTAGAGACATCTAAT